TACCTGGCTTGTTACAGGTGAGAACTCTGAAGTCTTCCCGTTGCTTGGGTGTACTGACTGTGCCACCCTGAGCAGGAGCAGCAGCCGCGTTGTGCTGCTGTGGTGGCTGAGTGCTAATTGTTTTGTACTGCCTGAGCATCAGGTTATTTTTGGATTGATCAAGTTTCATTCCCTGCAGGTCTCTGAGGCTTCCTGACCTGCATAAACTACGCTGGGAGAGTTTCTCTTTTCTAGGCTAGAGAGCTTACAGCCCCCATCCAGGGCACGGGTAGCAGTCTATTCCTCCCAGCAAAACCTGCAAACTATTCTTGTGTTGGTTTAAGGTGTTTTGCTAGCCCAGAGTGTGCAAAGCCATGTGCTGGCATGGGCCAAATCATTCGTTTTCCTTAATTAACTTCCTCCCTTTTGCCTTGGTGCTGTGACAAAACTCCAGCTCCAAGTATTCCAAAGTGGATGCCCCATCCCTGGCAGCATTCAAGAGCAAGTTGGATGAGGCAGCCCGATGTAGTGTCTTTGCCCATGGCAGGGGGTTGGAACTGGATGAGCTTTAAGGTCCCTTCCAACTGTATGGGAGATGGGGATAGTGATTCTGCTTCCACAGTGGCTTGATGAAACTGCAGGTGGTCAACTTGAGGTGGCCACAGGACCGGGGTCTGGCTCCCCTCTCATAGCTGCGAGCCTCCCTCAAAGGGTGCACAGCTCTGGCTGCTGCAGCATTCTGTGTGTGGCTGAATCTCCTCTCTCCTGTGCTGCAGAGCTCCTCTTCACTCCAGACACGGGGAGGGAAGCAGAGATGCCGGGGGAAGAGCTGTGGAGGTGGGGAGGGATTGAGCTATCATTACTGTGGCACCAGCGAGGTTTCTTTGCACCACTAAACAGTAGCTATCAGCATTGAGTGCAGTGTGCTGAACAGCTGAGCAAGGGAACAGATACTGAAAGGAGCCTGCAATGAAAAGGGATTTGGGAGGAAAAAAACACCTCTTTCAATTGCATGTAGGCACTGCCCATCACTGAGGGCTGTGACGGGGAGTGGGAATTGCCTGTTTATGGTGATTGATCTGCGCAGCCCCTGGGATGCTCAGAAAAAGGATTAAGGAGGAAAGAAGCTCAGTAGAAGGAGGAGGTGGAGGTTCCCCTTTGGAAACACGCAGGCTAATAGAAAACATCCTCTAAATTGTCAGTGTGTCAGGATAATGTAAGTATAATGTTTTCAAATCCTTGGCATCTTCTATCTGAATGTCATTGAATTAGCACCAACACATTCATTAGCTCATTATTCATTGCTATTCAGTGTTTGTTAGACTGGCTCTTTCTCTGGAAGATGGGGGTAATGAGACGTGGGACTGGCTGTGGGGCCATGCCCACAGCTGTGCACAGCACAGTAGGAGCATGGATTTATGTACCAGAACGGCCTTCAGTGATTGTTTTATTGGCATTTGCATCTGGCCTATGTTGTCCTGGCTCTTGGCCAGTGGTTTACCACGAATTAGTGGGAATTCTTAAGGGGAGAACAGTGTTAACAATGATGTGGATGACTTTCCACCAACTCCTGCCCTGAAAGCAACTGGTGAGACAAGGGGTAAAGGCAAATTTTGATCTTTTGGTCTGTGATTAGAGTTGCAAAACTGCCTCTGTAATAACAGAGATGTTCATTGCTGTCTTCATTGGTGAGTCATGGAGTGCCCCCTTCAGCCCCCATCACCTTCCTTTGCTTCTTGCCCTCAGGAGAGATTCTCTCTATAGGAAGATGTTTTGTTTTGTTTTTCTTTCCTCCCTTCCTTTTCTCTCCTTCCTTTTTTGTTTCTTTTCTTTTTTACCTGTCCCATCTTCCCTTCCTTGGCCATTTCTGACCATGAGGACAGAGCAGGAGGTGCGGGCAGCAGCTTTTCCTGGCAAGAATCACAGAATGGTTTGTGTTGGAGGGGACCTCAAAACTCATCCAGTTCCAACCCCCTGCCACGGGCAGGGACACCTTCCACTAGAGCAGGTTGCTCCAAGCCCCTGTGTCCAACCTGGCCTTGAACACTGCCAGGGATGGGGCAGCCACAGCTTCTCTGGGCACCCTGTGCCAGTGTCTTTAAATGTTTATTTCATAACCATTAATTGTTATTTCATAGCCATTCTCCAGCCATTGCATACAAACAACCTGGCAAGAACCCTTCCAGAAGTGACAAAGTAATAGTCACTGATGACACAGTTAATTTATTCTTTGCCACTAATAAGAAAAAAATAATTTGTGTTACAAAGGAGGAGGAAAAAAAATATCGAAGGGTTTGTTTAATTAAAACTGCATCATGTTGGAAAACCTGAGTCATGTCAATGGTACAGACAATGCTGTGATTGTATGATTAGGAAATGATTACCTCAGAAATAACACTTTCTTTGCTTTAAAGCTATTCATTTTTCTTCTTGAAACCAGCACACTCAGCACCCAAAGTCCTACCAAGACCATCAAGCCTCAGGTCTCTCATCCCTTGGTAGGGCTTTGGTGGCCCAGGGCCAGAAGGATGCCGCTGCTTCAACTGTTCCCTCAGTTAGCAAGTCTTTGTGAAGGACTTTGCTTTGCTCCTCACCAAAGCGTGCAGGGAGGGAGAGTGTCCACATAGGTGCCCAGCACCTTTATGGGGTGTGAGGGTCCTTGTTGTGTACTGTGCATCAGCCCGTCACTTTGGACTGTCCTCCCTGTGTCCCAGGAGCTGTGCTGGGGCAGGTGAGGGACGTGGGATGGCCTCAGAGTGGTCCTGAGTCTCAGCATGAGAGAGGAGCAGTCAGCAGAGGGGTGTTCCTTCAGGACTGGGCTGGATAGCTTTGATCACAAAATGCTGGAAATATCACAGCAACAGGTCTCTGCTTTCAGCAGCATTGGTGAGAAACCACTCAGCATCCAACCTTGTGAGTCTGGGTCTGCCAGGAACAGACTGCAGGATCTGTAGTAAAGAAATCAGAGGTCTTTTGTGACACTTCAGTCTGGCTTTGGGGTGGATTTTATGCGTAGATTATCTGGATTTGAATACACACAAGTTATTTCACCTCCCGTATGAAGACGGGCTGAGAAAGTTGGGGCTGTTCAGCCTGGAGAAGAGAAGCTGCGTGGAGACCTCAGAGCAGCTTCCAGTGTCTGAAGGGGGCTACAAGAATGCTGGAAAGGGACTCTTCATTAGGGACTCTAGTGGTAGGACAAGGGGTAATGGCTTCAAACTGAAACAGGGGAACTTTAGGTTAGATATAAGGAAGAAGTTCTTCACAGTGAGGGTGCTGAGGCACTGGAATAGGTTGCCCAAGGAAGCTGTGAATGCTCCAACCCTGGAGGTGTTCAAGGCCAGGCTGGACAGAGCCTTGGGCGACATAGTTTAGTATGTGGTGTCCCTGCTCATGGCAGGGGGTTGGAACTAGATGATCTTAAGGTCCTTTCCACCCCTAACTATTCTATGATTCTATTGTGACCATTTAGGTCAGCAAACTCCAGACATGGTCGATACTCCAAACTTTTCTACTAGCAGCTACCTTTTGAGCTTCTTGCTTTGTGTTTGAGTGTAAGCATGAGTAGATACAGCTTCCACCTTCCTCCTGAGTGGTTGTTTTCCATTGTCCCACTTCTGCAGTATTTCTAGAGCCCGGCTCCTGCATCTGGCTCTGAGCTGAGGGAAATCCCTCTCAAGGCAGCGAGATAACACTTGCATGCACCATGCCAAAATAACTGGCACCTTGATGCATGACTCCCAAAAGACTTGTGAAGTCTTAAGACATCGTCTCCTCCTAGGGCAGCCATGGGAAGGCTTGCGAGGGCATGGGATTGTGCTTGAGCCCTGTGCTTGCTTAGGCTGGATTAGCTGTGCTTGGTGCCTCGGTGTGGGAGAGTGAAGTGGCAAATGGGAAGATGTGTTTGTGTTCAGCTAATCCAAGATGAAATGAAGACAAATCGGAAGAAAAGGCTTTATGAACTGAGGGTTTCCAGGGGTTTATGGTTGTAGGATGTTACAGAGTGATTAATGGCACTCGACACCTCTACCTTTATACCACCATGCTACAGCAGAAGTTACCCTTTCCACCATAGCTCCTGTCAGTTATCATTGTCTTCTTATCCCAGATAACATTTGCAGTTTCTAGTTGCCATCATCTCCTGTTTCACAGAGAAGCAATGTACCCTCAAGGAAAGTCTTGCCTCTGGCTTCTTGTTGTTCAGGGCTGGTGTGTACTGGCACAACGTGGTGGCTGCAGCATCTGGGGGGACACACAAGCAAATTCCTGAGATCTGTGGCATTTGGCCTGAAATAGCAGCTGAAGGGTGTGATGTATGGCATGGGGAAAGACAAAAGGCAAAGCGTCACTTAATGGTTATAATTCCCCAGGTCTGGAAAGCGTTTAGTTCCCCTTCTCTGGGAAACAACAAAGAGGTACTGTTGGGCACTGCCTTATGCTGGAGTAGAATCATAGAATCACAGAATGGTTTGGGTTGGAAAGGACTTAAGGTCATCTAGTTCCAATGCCCTGACATGGGCTAGAACACCGTCCACTAAAGCAGGTTGCTCCAACCCCCATCCAAACTGGCCTTGAACACTGCCAGGGATGGATATTCACAAATTCCTTGGGCAACCTGTTCCAGTGCCTCACCTTTACCCTCACAGTAAAGATTGTCTTCTTTACATCTTATCTAAATCTCCCCTGTTTCAGTTTGAACCCATCACCCCTTGTCCTATCACTACAGCCCCTGGCTGGACTATACTTTGTAGGTCAAAAGCATTTATAGCTAATTGCCCACGCCAAAGCCAAGCTGATCTCATTATATCTCTTCCCCCCTCTCAGCAGATCCCGGTGACAGCAGGATCACCTTGAGATGAGCTGCCCATAGCTGGGGCCAGCCGGGTCCCCGCCCCA